ATTGTGTGGTTAAAAGTAGGAGAGAGAAAAATTTAATTTAATGTAATGAGGAATAATGGGGGCCAAACACATGCAAAATGGAAAATAAAAAATGACATCATGCATAGTAAAATTGGATTCATTTACTATTGCATGAGTAATAGACCTTCATTCCCCTTTTTATTAGAAGTTAGATAAAAGAGAAAGAAAGTTGGGCCGGTTGTGGGCCTTGCTACTGAAGCTAAGTTTTTCCTTATCCGCCCGTTCTTTGACTTGTCCCGAAAAAAAAAAAAAAAAAAAAGACCCATCCTTACTTTTCAAATAACACTTTCAAAAATCAAATTATAATTATTTTCTTTCAAAAATCATATTATAGTTATTTCATAATTTAATAATTAAATCACAAACCCTAATAATCTAATAAATCTACCATTACTCACAGCGCTACAATATCCACCATAATAAATAATAACAATCCAACATACCCACCCACTATAGCTGAGCGATGCCACCGTACCTACCCACCGTAGTCGCGCATTATAAATAATAGAATTACATCATTAGTATTTATACCAATCATAGCTTAAACTCATACAAGACTTTAAGACCCATCCAAGAAAATATCATTGTACTGTACTGCGTGCCCTCGCACCCCCAACCCATTCATCATCCCTGCCAAACAAACAACAATTTAAAACTCACAAGACTGATGTCGAGCCTATTTGATCCGTAAACTTGTGTTCTACTCTATATGAGTCACATGTACAACAATTTACACCTTGACGAATATTCACCTTTTAAGATAAAAACACTAAAAAACATAACTTGGGAAACCATGCCATCTAGGACAATAGATTGGGACACATCCTCTCTAACACCTAGAGATGTTAATGAAGTTCAAGCAATGCTTGAACTATCTATTGTGATTGGCTTTGTCAACATGTTTGCTACATTGTCTGAGGCATGTACCTTCTCTTGTGAAATCGCACATCAATATGCTTAGTTTTGCATAATAAATCTGATTCTTTGTTAAGAAGATGGTGCTCTGACTATTACAATACAGCTTCATTCTATCTTACTTAATCCCAAGCTCCCTGACAAGCCCTCTCAACCACAATAATTCCTTAATTGCTTCAGTTGCTGTCATGTACTCTATTTCAGTTGTGGATAATGTCACAAGTGACTGCAACATTGATCTCCATTATACAGGCCCACTCGCGAGTGTGAAAACATAATTTGTATGGGACTTTATGTCATCCAAGTATCTTGCATTATCTGCATCTACATATCCTTGAATTGAAATATCATCATGTTGTCTTTGAAACATGATCCCACACTCCATTGTACCTCTTAAGCACCTGAAAATCCACTTTTTAGCTCTCCAATGCTCTTTGTCAGGATTAGCCATGTATTTGCTCACCATATTGAATACATGTGCTAGATTTGGTCTGGTACACACCATTGCATACATCAAACATCCAACTACTCTGATCTTCTTATCTTTGTTGATGTCCTGTTAAGAATCTTCCTAATAGGTCCCAAATCTTTCACATCAAACTTACAGTTTAACAAAGGCTTTAATCCGTCTACTCCGTTCATGTTCTTAGCAACAATTAACTTGTCATCCACATACAACATCAACAACAGTCATACTTACAGCGATTGTAGTCAATCTGAATCATGTGAGAGTCGAACTCTTGTATTATTGCTGTGGAGACTACTTAAACCCATATAAAGACTTATTCAATTTACACATAATATTCTCTGTTCAAGGTTCCAAATACCCCTGTGATTATTTCATGAAAATCTACTCCTCCAAATCACCATA